TAACTTGCCACCGGAAACTCTATGACCTTTGATAAATGTTGATAGTTGTAGAGGGGCTTCAGAACTTTTGTTCATAGGGTTGCTATGAGTCATGCTTGACTCGAAAGGAATCAACAACACAACAACAATAACCCTTTTAGGTTATTAATCTCTAATAATTACTAGGTCATTATGTCCATATTTTCAAAAGGGTAGAGATAATTGTCTCCTAGAGCATTTGACATTATTGTTAAAAACTAAAAAAAAAAAAAAAATCCCAAGGCAGTTGCTAATTTCTAGGTTGGATTTGGACCCCTGAAACAGTGTTTAGAGTTCTGAATTTATTATCATTCGAATTTAAAAAAAGGTGTCACTTACTAAGACGATATCCCTTAACCTGTCCTTTCTTTGGCTAATTTGAGTAATATCTAATATCATGATGACAACCTCATTCTGCCCTCTGCAAGATAATGCCTACACCTTGGTGATGCCAAGCTTTGAGCATTACTAACCTGTGTCATATGAGGCCAGAGGCTCCAGCTCCTTCCTTTATGTATGTTGATGGCAGCCCTTGCTGTATCTAGACCCAGTGGTCTGCATCCTGTTGTAAATGTGGGCCATTTTCATCTCTTACAGACATGCACAGGCTTCACACATCTTTTAACATTTCTTTCCAATTCTGATTGGGTCTCTCTTCGTGGTGTGTTTATTATTTTTAGGAGAAAGCAACCATTTACAGCTTCTCCTCTCTTTTATTCTTTCTCTACTCTCAATCTGTGTTTCAAAAAAAGCTAAATGGGGAGCTCTGGTGGCCTAATGGCAAGGAGCTGCAACTACAATGCCAGAGGTGCACAGTTCAAATCCACCAGATGCTCTGCCAAGGAAGGAGGGACAATCTCCTCCTGTACCAGTCAGATCTGATTTGACGGTACACGCACACAAAAATTAAAAACAACAACAACAACAAAAACAAGCTAAATGTAGAGACGCTTGTCTTTTTTTTCCATCTTTGAGTCTCACATATCTGTACATGTTTCACATGATAAATTATCTCATAGAGCATCTTCTGTCTTTGTTAGAATCTTTAGAACAACTCTCTGCTTTCTAGTCAGGAGTTATTGGTTAAAAATCAACGGTGTGGGGGGTATAATTTGATGGGAGGGGTGAGGGAAATTGGAAGAATCTGGTCTGAAAACCAATGTATTAGAATTTTGTAAATAAACTAGTATAATAAAAATAAATAAATAAATAAAAACTTTTCAGTATCAACTTCCTTAGAATCTCAGACTTAAAACCTTTAGGAAACTTCCATGGATTTACCTTGATTAGCCAATATTCTAAAACAACAAAGACCTCAGGAATTGTCATCCTTTGTTCTTATGTTGATAAAATTTGAGTATTTTTGTTTTATTTTTAAACTCAGTTATGGAGATTATATTACCACTGTTGTTTTATTGGGCAAAGGAATGTTAAATCTATAAGTCATTTCATTGTTTTGCTATAAGGATAGTTTATATCATAGTATCACAATAGATTTTAAGGAGTGCATATTCTTCTGAGTGGTCTGATTTTTTTCTATTGGTAGACCAAATGCTTAGCAAAAATACAGTGATTTAAAACTGGAACGACCAAAAACCAGTTCCACAAGTGAAATCTCAAATAAAGAAACTGGAGAGTTTACATATAAATATATATGTTCCACAAGTGAAATGTTAAATAAAAAAACTGGAGAGTTTACATATAAATATATATGTAATATACATATAAATGTATATGTAGGGAGCTCTGGTGGCCTACTTACAAGAAGCTGCGCCACAATCTCAAAGGCATATGATTTGAGGCCATCAGCTGCTCTGTGGGAGAACGATGGACATTCTCCTCTAGTATGATTAACTGCCTCTGAAAACTCACCGAAGGGTCACCTATGACTCAGTTCCAACTCTTTGGTGCACAATGACAACAAATGTATATGTTGGGTGCTCTGGTGGCCTAGTTAATAAGAAACTGTGCTGCAATTCCAAAGGCATGTGGTTCAAATCCAGCAACTGCTCCATAGGAGAATGATGGGCAAACTCTTTCCATCCCTGTGATTAACTGCCTCTGAAAATCACTCCTGAAGGGTCAGGTATGAGTCAGTTCTGACTTGATAACACACAACACACAAATGTGTATATGTATATATGTATACACACACATATACAAATATATAAAAATTAATTAAGATTAATTAAACTTTGATTGGTATTTCAGTACTTCCGTGATTTTTTTTAAAGTATTTAAGTCGGGCAATATTTTAATCTGATGATACATAATTGCAAATTGCAGCAAAGGATAGACAAGAAAGGGAACTATTTTCTAATATTAATATAGAGATCTTCCAAGATCTTCAGTGCACAGAGCATGGAAAGGTGGAAGGATGCTTGAATACTAAGTTTTATCTTTGAGTATATATTTGTTGGCCATAACATTCCAAAGGAGATTTATAGTAAGTTTATAGTTGGGAGACAGCAATGTGCTAACCATAGAAATTAATTTCTACATCCAAATTACATTATACTTGGAGATTTTTTAAAAAATTATTTGATGCAAACTGTTCAGTATGAGATTCTTTAATTTTTTTTATTTCAAGGTTTTTTTGGTATGATTTGGGATTTTTTTTCTTTACATTTTGTGCTATTTGGATTAACTATAGGAGGTGAAAAAACAAAGAAAAACAAACCTACCAGAGAACTCTTAAAGTGTTTTTTCACTTTAGCTGTTTACATAGAAATGAGTGTATAACTATTCATACTGCACAGCCTAAAATTAGTAAAAGAAGGGTAATAATAATAAACTGAGCATTTAGGATGTTCCAGGTCAAGCATGGACCTCATTCAGTCCTTAACAACATTATCAAAAAGTAGTGGTTTGTCCTTACTTCATACATGAAGTGTCTGAAGTGCAGAAGAAATAACTAAACCAGACACATAACTAATAAGTCAGACTTCACAGACTTTGGGCTCACAAACAAATTCTCTTCTCCTTCACCTGGGGGATGGTAATAAATGCCAGAACGTTAACAAACTTAGCACTTTTCTTATAATGATTGTCCATTGACAAAACATTATTTTTATTCTTTTGACCATTCTTGAACCTACTAAATGAAAAGACAAGACATATTTGTTTTACTCTTTGTCTTCAAATTTTACAATTTTTTTTCCAAAACTTATTTATCCAGTAAATTAGAGAGCTCTGGTGGCTTAGTGGTGAGAATCTGTGCTCCGAACCCAAAATTAAATGTTTCAAATCCACCAGCTGCTCCATGGGAGAAGGAGACGATCTCTACCTGTGTGATTACTTGCCCCTGAACATCTGCTGGAGGGTCAGCTCCAACTCAGTGGCACACAACTAAAAGACAACATCCAACAAATTAGTCTCAAGATTTTGTATAGTCCCAAAGACATTTTAAAAATGGCTATTAAATTTGGTTATGAGTTTCACTATCTTTTAGCCAAATGTAGACTTGGTTGCAGTGGTGGTAGATATGATGAAGGCAATCTTGACACACCCAGTTAGCTGTGTGATTTTTTTTTTAAGGTCATAAATGCCCCAAACAGTTTTATTTAGCTTGCTCCTATTTAGGAATAAAAATTGCATGGAAAAAAATTGGATTTTTTAATTTAGTCTCTATAAAGATTAGTGTATACAGGCTTGCGTATTTCTAGTTCATCTGATTATCAAGCACTTGTGAAATTATAACATAAGCTTTGAGAAATAAACTTTCTATTTTGGAGTAGTTTTTAGACTCACAGATAGTTGCAAAGATGGTAGAGAGATTCCATATGTCACTTACCCAGCTGTAGGACACTTTGCTAATTCAGAATTGTTAGGGAAATCTAGTGTTCTAGCTAAATTTGCCTACAAGGAGTCTAAGTATTTTAATCTTTCAAATAGAATGACTTACACTTAGCTGATTGTGCTTTCTCTATTTCTGTGTCTGGTAGGCCCATAAAGAAGAAAAGACTTCAGTGAGTTGTGTTTATTTGATCTTTAATACCATTAGAAAAAGTATTGTTTTTAGAAAATCAGCAGGTTGCTTGATATTTCTTATAGAGAGGAAAGTTCAGTTATCTGAGCCTGATTGTAATTTAAATGATTGCTATATTTTATGGGGAAAAGTGAATTTTTTTCTTCTCAAAAACTACTAAATTCATTTCCTTTGAAAGTATTCTATGTTGTGCATATTTTAGCTGTGAAGGACTATATACAGTTTAAATTTTATTTTCAAGTATTTATAAAAAAAATGTAAACTATTGCATGCCATTGTTAAGGATATCTTATTCCAGAAGTTAGAATTTCTTAAAAACTGTAATACTAGCTCTCATTTTAGTCTATTGATACTTGACAAGTGTACTGATCATAGAATTTTGAGTAGAATGACATTTTCCTATTTAGAAAGCATATATTCTTCTGATAAGTGAATATCTATTAATCCATTTTAATTTCTTTCCTCTGCCCATGCCACATTGCTGTGAGCATTTGTCATTCTGAATGCTAGGTTATAAGAAGTATGCCATTTTTAGTACATATATTAAGAAATACAGAAGACCTAGTTAGCTATGGATAAGACTTAACTTTTTACTGAGGAAGATTAGAATAGAGCTGTGTGTGCTTGTTTCATTGCTATAACTACCAATTTGACATTTTGATAGGAAAGCTACCGAGTTAAATTTTTCTTAAAATTATAGAAATTGCCAGAACATTTTGGAAAACAATTTCCATATATACAATGACATAGTTAAGATGCCCTGGCTCTGAGCACAAAAGATATTGCAGTCACTGACCTTCTGTTTTCTCTGTCCTCTAAATAACTGGCTTTGCTAATTTTGCTTATATTCTAGAGGCAAAATGATCAGTCTTTTAAAATTGTATTTTTGTAGAGAAGCCAGGAGAATGGGCATTGCTTGCTTCCGCCGTGTGAATGACACCACAGTGCTTACGGTGTGTTTCCTTTTCTCCGCCCCCTTTCCATCCTTCCCTAGACACACATCGGGAATTCCTTCACAGGCCTGCTTCTGGATACGTGCCAGAGGAGATCTGGAAGAAAGCTGGTAAGAATTGTTTAAAAACATGAGTTTAGTGTTCTGGCAGCTGTGTGCAGTTGTTAATGCAGTGGAGTGAAGAATGACAAGAAAGGACTTTACTGCTAACAACAACAACAATAAAACAAAACAAAACAAGAAAAACACCCTGCGAAACAAAACAACAACAAAAAAACTTGATTAATATTCTGAAGCCAAGCCTGATTAGAACATGAAATAGTTTTTATTTTAGCAGCATCTGCTAGTGCCACTATAATTGAGAGGCTGGCAATATTTCCATTATAAACCCCTACTTTTCAGGGGCTATAATGATTTCAGGCTGAAACTTGGCATGCAATTTTTTTTTCTTTTATGAAAAAAAAATCTGGTGCTTTATAAATTAAATTGCATACTTCAGCCTTTTCCTCTACATTCTTTAAAAAAATACATAGTTGTATGAAATCTTGTTGAGGCACTCAGTTTTACGGTTACAAGCAGTTTTTTTTGTTGGTTTTTTTTTTTTTTAAAGCCTCTGTGCTAAATATTCCATGATTAGAGCTACATAAATGACAAAATTGCTGAACTTCTAGTATTATTTCCTATGTACGCTGTCTGGTTTTTGTTATATCCTTGTCTGTGTTTTGTAGTTAGTTGTATGTGTAGTTAGTTGTTTGGCACCATGAACTTGCCAGTTACAAAGCTTACAAAGTTAAGGTCTGGGGGTAAATTGGTAGGAAACCAGCACTATAAACACTGAGCAAAGACAGAAAATAAAAACATGTTTTAATAAATAGAGATAATGTGAAAGACATTTAATGCATCTTTTGTGCTCCTATGGCTTCAAATATTCGTTTGTCAGGGTTGATAATCTGAGAAATGTCCACACTCAGATGGATAAAGATGGCAGCACTGACTAAAGTGGCAAAAGTGAGAGAATGACGGTTATCATTATCATTAATAATAATAAATAAATACTCTCTTGGTTTTGATTTAACTCATCTGTGTTCATATGCAATTTGTTGACTTCCTGACCATTTGGATTGCATTGTCTAAGAAATATATTTTTTTTTAAAGAACAATAATAGATTTAGAAATCTGAAAGCATCTAGATTTAGTGACTTAAATTTAGGAACAGAAAGATCTTGTGTTTATCCAATATGTAAATCAGTTAGCTTTGTTCAGTTATAACTGAAGCTACAAATGGAAATATATATGCACATTCACTTTCAGCTTTATAGTATAACCTGATTTGTAGGATCATTGTAATAAGATTTCCTAAGTAGACAAGAAGGAGCCCTGTTAGACACACAGTTAAGTGGTTGTCTGCTAACAGAAGGGTGGATGGTTCAGACTCACAGAGTGATTTTGAACTCACAGAGCCTATAAATATGTCTTTTAAAGGAAATACCATACATTACCTTTCAGGCAAAAGTTAGAAAAAGAAACACCTGGTGATGTGTTTTCACAAAAATTACAGCCAACAAAACTCTCTGTGGCAGTTCTACTCTGTTATGGGGCTGATAGGAGTTGAGAGTAACTTGATGTCACGCAGCAATAAGTGTGCTACTCCCAGGCTATGCAGGTGTATTGGGAGCTATCAATCTACATCTCCCTGTTGTTATGTGCCATCGAGTTGCCTGCGACTCATAGAGACCCTGTGTACAACAGCCCTAAACCCTGCTCTGTCCTGTTCCAATCTTATGGTCTCTGACACACCTACCCTCATTACCCAAGTAACTGAATCAATCCATCTCATCAAGGGTCTTCCTCTTCTGCACCATCCCTCCACACTCCCAAGCATGACGTCCCTCTCCAAAGACCTGCCCCTCCTTGAAAAATGTCCAGAGTATGTCAGAGCTTCAGAATCCTTGCCTCCAAGGAGCAGCCTGGCTTCACCCTCTCGGGGATGAGCCTGTTGATTTTCTTAGCAGTCCATGGTATATTCAGTACTCTTCTCCAACATCACAGCTCAAAGGCATCAATTCTCCTTCTACTGCCCCTTTTTTCTCCTCTCATAGCAGGGGTGGCATCCACTTCCTAAACAATATGCCTCTGAAAACTCTATGAACTTTGATAAATATCAGTAGTTGTAGAGGGGCTTCAGGCCTTTTGTTCGTAGGGTTGTTATGAGTCTTGCTCAACTCAGAGCAATCATCATCATCAACAACAACAACATATTTTTAAGCTGTCAGTGCAGGTATTTAAGGAAGATGTACAAACATTTGCCTTTTTGGACAATAGAAGATGACTTTATGTTGTTGGAGAGAGTCTCTTGCGTTTTCTCTTTCATATGTATTTAAGCTAAATTCTTGAGAATTCATAATGAAAAACTGATCACCAACTCTTGTAAAATCCAAATTCCTTCAGTGCTATTATCTCCTCAAGTCTTTGTTTTCCTATTAAATTAGAGTGAGTTTTTCTGAATATAAAGCCTTTGTTGTAAAGTCAACCTGAATAGCAGCACACAGAGGGCATAAGCAATTGGAAACAGACTCAAAACCAAATTATGTATTTTGCACTTAATCAGTAAACACACACACACACACACACACACACATACATACATACATACATCTACTTCGAAAGAACCATTAAATTTTGTCAAGTAAAATGTTCTTATTACTTTTATTCTTAAATAAATTGGTTGTTTTATACTGGTTTACTTACCAAGTTCCTATATCTTGTTTTTCACACTGGATCTTGCCCATTTTCTTTACCCACTTTTCCCTTTACCCTTCAAATTGTGCTACTCTATGATTACTATTATGCTAAGTGAACTAATTCAGTCCCATAAGGAAAAATACTATGTAAGACTATTATTGTAGAAATAGAAAGATTAACTAGTAAATTGTGTGTGAGGATCCAAGAGGGGGAGGGGGGTAGGAGCAGAGACACAAGGATGGGCAGGGTGGTAATCTTAGTACTGTTTAGGTGTACCTTTTACTTATATTAGGTCTTTCACCTACATAATGACTTGATAGTAATAGAGATCAAATTCATACTCTTCTCATAATGAAATCTTGTATCTACCTTTTAAAATAATGTTTTATTATTTTAAATGAGTAGATGCTAAGTTACAGAAAGTATTTTAAATACAAAGCACAGATGAGTGTCGTTAAGAAATAAAGCTTATTATAAAATTATGACTGCTTGTATTACTTCTCTTCTAAGTCCTCTTGAGAAGTCTTTGTAGTATACACAATGCTAAGGTATCTAACATGACAAGAACATCAAGGGCAGGATGTGACATCTGTGCTCAGCTTGTTACAATTTGAAAGGTTTCCTCCCAAGGACACTATCATTTGTTTTTGGCAACTGTTTTCTAAGGGAATAAAAAAAAGCCTACAAATATGTCTCTTAAAGAAAATATCATACATTACCTTTCTGGCAAAAAGTTAGATAAATAAAGTTTAAAGGATCTAAAAAATAATGAAGAGGCAGAAGTCCTAAAATATACCAGTGCATCTTTTTCACAGAACATTATGAGACTGTGTTTGAAAGTACATCAGATATTTATTTCTTTAATATGATTTCAAGGGTGCAAAATAAACTGCAAAATGTATTTTTAAAAATCTTCATAACATAGTAGGGAGCAAAGAGGTGAGGATGGGTGGGGTCGGGGCTGATTAATCATAAAGTTGCACAATTTGATGGGTTTGAGGGGATGGGTAAAGGAAATGGGAAAGATCAGGTGTGAAAAACAATGTACATGAACTTTGTAAGTAAACCAGTATAAAATAATTTTTAAAAAAAAACAAAAAAAAACCCTATCCTTGTATGGAAATCCAAAATCTCTATAAGCGTTCATTAAAATTAATTGAAAAAAAATTATTTTTAAAAAAAATTCCTATCCTCCAGATTCATTTTTTTCCATATTTTATTTCCATCTCTCATTTCTTCTCTTCATCCCTCCTTCTCTTTCTCTAATACATTCATAATTTTAGTATGTATTTGTCTGTATTTCCTGAAAATAAGGTTTATCTCTTACATATTTCCAGTACAGCTAACAAAATCAGGATATTAACTCTGATATAATACTATTATTTAATCTAAAGACCATATTCAAGTTTTGTCTGTTATCCCAATGATACAACATAGTAATGCATATTTTTAAAGATTAGAAATCATAATAGATGTTGAAAGCCACATACTTCCCCCCAAAAATAAGCCCAAAGTATTTTCTAAAGCAGAAACCAGGATATAAAAAAGCAGTTTTAAGTTATAAAGAAAGCTCTTTATAATTTGGAAAAAATCTAATGTAATGTTGGTTTCAAAATTGCAACTGATTTTTCCCCCCTAGTATTTATTTTTTTCCAAATGATCAGAGAATGTTTGCAGTTGGTAATAAATATTCAAGCACCTTGCAAATGTCCTACCAATTCTCTTTGCTGATCTGTGTATGCCTGTGGGATTAGAATAGGAATGCATAATTTAAATATAAATTGCCTGATTTGCATATACAATTAGTCAAGCTGCAGCTTTGATCGTAAGCAAAAATTATTGTCCTGTATTACCACTTAAATAGAATTTTAATTCACCTTGAATATTCAAACTAAATTAGACCCTGGCTGTATAGTTAGAAGGGCAGTGCTTCCCTGGTGCCCAGAGTCATTTATGATAGGTAATAAAGGCATCTCTTCACCTCCTGGTGAGGAAGATCCTGCAAGCTCTGTTTGCAGTACTGTGATTCAATCCACATTTTAAATGCATTCTCTTAAAGCAACCAACAAAGGCTTAACATATTTTAGTTAATATCTCCAGTCTGGATCTTGCCCTTATATTTTAGTTTATAAACTCTAGCAGATAGCTATCACAATGGAATGCAGTTCAGAAACTAGAGAAAAGAAAATGCTGCTAAGATTTCAAAAGTCTGGAAAGTGAATCACTAAGGGAGATCTGATGGTCCTCAAGTCATGCCCTATAGATGTGTGAAATAAACCACAGAAATTTAAGCAAATTTGGAGTTGCTTACATCTCTAATACTTTTAATCTTAAGTAAAACAATTTTATTAGGAATCTGTGTTTTTAAT